GGTTGTTCATGAAGAACAAACTCAAGATCCTCAAGAACCTATGCATCATGAGCCAATAACTTTGCGGAGATCCACTAGAGAAAGAAGAAGTGCTATTTCGGATGATTACATGATATTTCTTCAGGAACATGAGGAAAACAATGGTATGATGGAAGATGACCCAGTTAACTTCTGTCAAGCCATGCAAGGTTCTAACTCTGAAAAGTGAATTGAAGCAATGAAGGAGGAGTATAAGTCCATGCAAGACAACAAGGTTTGAGAACTTGTCCCATTACCAGAAGGTATGAGACCCATCGGTTGCAAGTGGATATTTAAGACCAAACGGGATTCTAAAGGTAATGTGGAAAGGTATAAGGCTCGTCTGGTAGCTAAGGGCTATACCCAAAAGGAAGGGATTGACTTTAAAGAGAATTTCTCTCCAGTTTCATCGAAAGACTCTTTTAGGACAATCATGACTCTTGTAGCACATTATGATTTGGAGCTTCATCAAATGGATGTCAAGACGGCGTTTCTCAATGACAACATTGATGAGACGATTTATATGGTACAACCAGAAAATTTTGTGCAGGGAGATTCAAAGAATATGGTTTGCAAACTGACAAAATCCATTTATGGACTAAAGCAAGTATCTCGTCAATGGTACTATAAATTTCATCAAGTAATTCTCTCATTTGGCTTCGAGATGAATATTGTTGATGATTGTGTATATCACAAGTTTAAGGGGAGTAAGTATATTTTCCTGATCTTGTATGTTGATGACATTCTACCTGCCACTAATGATATAGACATATTGCACGAAACCAAGAAATTTTTATCAAAGAATTTCAAAATGAAAGATCTTGGTGATGCGTCTTTTGTATTAGGAATTCAGATACACCGAGATCGATGTCGGGGTATTTTAGGATTATCACAAAGGAACTATATCGAAAAAATTCTTAAAAGGTTTGGCATGCATGAATGTAAATCCGGGGATACTCCAGTTGCTAAGGGAGACAAGTTTAGTCTCAATCAGTGCCCAAAGGGGAATTTGGAAATTGAGGAAATGCAAAAGATTTCCTATGCATCACTGTAGGGAGTTTGATGTACGCCCAAGTATGTACGCGTCCGGACATAGCATACATAGTTGGGATTCTAGGCAGATATTTAAGCAATCCAGGAATGGACCATTGGAAAGCAGGAAAAGGGTCATGAGATATTTAAAGAGAACAAAAGATTACATGCTCACATACAGGAGGTCAGACCAGTTGGAGATCGCTGGGTTTTCTGACTCGGACTTTGCAGGATGTCAAGATAGTTTGAAATCCAGTTCAGGTTACATTTTCATGTTAGCAAGTGGTGCGGTTTCTTGGCGCAGTGTCAAACAAATCCTTACAGCTTCATCCACTATGGCAGCAGAATTTGTAGCATGCTATGAGGCATCGAATCATGGAATATGACTGAGAAATTTTGTCACAGGACTGCAAATTGTGAAAGGCATTGAAAGACCACTTAAGTTATATTGTGACAACAAATCAGCTGTATTGTATTCCAACAACAACAGAAGTTCGACTAAGTCAAAGCACATCGACATTAAGTTTCTAGTTGTTAAGGAAAGAGTACAAAGTGAACAGATTTCCATAGAACATTTAGGGACAAACTCCATAATAGCAGATCCTCTAACTAAAGGACTTTCGCCCAAGGTCTTTCATGAGCATGTTGCTCACATGGGTATTTTACAGTTTGAGGAATTTGTGATTTAGTGGGAGTTAGTCACTTTCATATATCTTATGTTCTATGTTTAATTTCATATATGTATACATTTATTTTTTGGGCATATTTGGTTATCTATAGATATGCGTTTTTTTTTTGTTCATTCATTACACTTTGTACATTAAGGATATTATATCGATCTCAATAAGTCAAAGTTTGGACCAGTTGAAAATAGACGTGTACAGATCACCTTCACGTAATTTTTCATGCTACACATTTCATGATGAATCCATGTCATTTGGTTATGTTAGGATGAGTAATCATTGTTGGTTTTAGTTGCGATGATGCAATGAAAAACTGTTTTTGTTCTATATCCTGATATGATTAATGGACAGGACTTTTGGAATATGCTAAAGGAATATAATGGCAATTTTGAGCTCATAAAGTCTAACACATTTGTAAGGTTGTAAGGACATATATATTTGTGACCAGTGGGAGATTGTTGGCAAAATTTGGGTCATGTATATATATGATACATATTTAAATGTGTTATGGCCATTATTTATTAAGCCAAATAATAAAGTGATCTGACTAAATTAAAAAGATTTGGCTAAAGACATATGTCATGAAAATAAAATTGTGTAGAGACCATAGAGCAATTTCTAATTTGATGAGGGGCCAAATTAGAAATACTAAAACTAAAGTAATTAACCTAATTCTGGTTATTTAAAGGGTTATGGTCCCCTTCTGGGAGCACGTAGACAAAACACAGTTACAGTCTCGTTCTTTCTTTCTATCCCCATCAAGAGAGAAAACCAAGAGGAAATACAGCGCTTCTTCAGGTGAAAGACCATAAGATCAATAGTGTTCTAAAAGGACATCATCATTATGACTAATTCAGTACACTTTCGCATTTAATTTATAACATATTTACATTATGAGATTATTTTATATTTGATCGTTAGATTGAATATCATATTCAATTAACAGTTTACCTAACAATTCAAAGAAGTTATTTAATTACACCGATCTTGTTTAAGAATTTGAAACTTGACACATAAATAAACAAAAGCTATAGAAAATAAAACTTATTTAAATAAATAATATTCTAGGAATGAGTTCATAAGAAAATAAGATTAACTTAAAAGTTTATAGTTATATTACTCATTATTATCTTTTATATATTTAAGACAAACGAAAGGATAAGTTAAATGAAATAACTTCTTAAGCAACCTTGATTTTAAAATGAAATCATTTACATGAGATGAAAAAAATGAAAAAAATAAAATAAAGAGTGAAGAGAATTTAAATGTTTTATTGTTTATTTAGAAGTTAATAATTGATAAAATAAATTATTTTTTAATAAAATGTAAGTAATGGTTTTCATTTACTGCTTCCATTCCTTTATTAATAGGTTATTTATTAGTTTTACTGTACACTTTGACCAATGCACGTGGCGTTCTCTATAATTTGTTTAAAAAATTATAAAAAAGGAATGGAAAGTACTAAAATGAAATAGAAAGACAAGAAAATAAAAACATATGAAAAAAGAAATAATAAGTCTTTTTCTTTTTCAAATTTAGTTTTAACTCTTATACTTTTAAATAGATTAAATCAATTTTTTGATTTAAAATATTGTTATTTTAATTATTTTAATACTTATCATTATAAATTTATAAAATAATTAAATTTAAAAATATATAATTTTTATATTTCTTTATATTTAAATTAAAACTTAATAATATTTTTATTTTTCATTATAAATTGATAAAACGATTAAATTAATTTTTTTAGTATGAGAATCAATTAGTCAATTTTAAAAATAAATGAACTAAAATCAAAATTTACGGAAAAATATAAGAATAAAAAACATTTAATTCCTTAAAATTACATGTCGTTTGATCTTCTCTCCCCTCCAAACGCAGGGCTTCATTTCGTCATATTGTGTTGAATGGTTGACTCTGTTTTTGAAATGTGAAAAGTAACAAGCTTGCTTTGTTCTATGGAAGAGCAGTATTTGGTTGAAGCAGTGGCTCCGCTTTATGCAGCACGGAAACTGGGTACGAAATCCCCGAAAAGACAAATTGAAACCATAAAATAAAAGGAGCACTTTCCCAGATTATGGATTCCAGAAAGCTCACCCCTTATCTATTCATTTGTTTTATTTATTTTACCCTATTCTATGTCTCCTGCTTCTATTCTTTACACAAGTCTAGTTCCTCTCTCTCTCTCTCTCTCTCCTCTATAGCCTTTGTGACTTCTACCTTTTTGTTTTGACTTCCACCCTTGGATTTCAGACTGGAAAAGGAATAGAAGAACCCAAAAGAATGTGAATCAGAGTCATAAGAAACATTAAGTTATAGAGAGAAATAAGGAAAAAAAAATATTACCGGGTTCACATTTCCAAACCGAAGCAAATGCATCCGAGGAGTGTTTTCTTCTGACATCCATTAATTAATTAGTAGTAGTAGTATCTTAATTTGGTAGCATTAATTGGGCATTGGGGTTGATGCAGGAAGTGTAAGGCTCCTTATAGAAGTCAACTAGCAGGTCGCGTTAACTATTGCAGATTGTTGATTCACAGGGTTAGGCCAGGGTTAAAATTCTATGGGTGAGTTTCTTGGTGTTTTAATAGAATATAAAAAAATTAATTATGTTTTTATGGCATTTTTAATTGTTAACATCAATATTAAATATTTAATTGAATGTATAATCATATTTGAAATCTTTAATTTTCACTGCATTTAATAGTTTTATTTATGATATTAAAAGTTTATTCATTTATATTTTACAAGTGGTTTGCAAACCCATTGATTTGAAAATTTGTAGAGTAACTGTATCATGGCCAATAAGAAGCAACCGCTAGTTATGCAGGAGAGTGAGTTTTGTTCAAAGGTCCAACCTAATCTCATTAAATTTCACACGGTGACAGATTTGTGTGTCATTATCATTCAAAAATTGTTCATCAAGACTTGAAAATCATTACGATATTCTTTTGTTTAGAACACCTTTAAAATCTCGGCTCAAGGAAGGAACTCATGCTCCCATCTCATCTTTTTTTACTTCCCAGGCTCAAATCTAAAGCATAAGAAAACAAAAGTGAGGTAAACATTTGTCTCCAGCAAAAGCACTGCTCCTTACAAGGAGCCTTCCCCTGCCACTCTTTTTTTTTTTTTTTGCATCCAACCGGAAAAACAGTATTCTCACTTCCCCCTTTGTCTATGGCACCAAATGGTGTCATAAAACTGTTTTATCCTATTTGCACTTGAAAAAAGTTGCAACCTTTTGTGAGTGTTCTCTGACTCGGCAAAATGGGTAGGAGTAATGCCTTTGTGTCTCCACCAGAACAGCCACCATATTTTCTTTCACAGCCAAACCCACCTTTTTCTCCCACTGCTCGATCTGATAGTTTCAGCTTGAACGATAGGGCGTTGAAGGTTAGTCCAAGCATCCTTTTGATCATTATAATTCTGGCTATTGTTTTCTTCATTTCTGGCCTGCTACACCTGCTGGTTAGATTTCTGTGGAGACCCCAAACTAGAGAGCCTGATGATTTGGACAATGTCACTGCTCTTCAAGGCCAATTGCAGCAACTGTTCCACCTCCATGATGCTGGGGTTGACCAGTCCTTCATTGACACCCTCCCTGTGTTCCTCTACAAGGCCATCATAGGACTCAAGAACCCGTTTGACTGTGCCGTTTGTTTGTGTGAGTTTGAGCCCGAGGACAAACTCAGGTTGCTGCCAAAATGTAGCCACGCTTTTCACATGGAGTGTATTGACACCTGGCTCTTGTCTCACTCTACTTGTCCTCTTTGTAGAGCCAGCTTGCTCCCTGAATTCTCTGCAGGTAACGCACGTTCTCCCATTGTTCTTGTCCTAGAATCTGGAAGTGAGAGTTCCAGGGAGATTGTTCCTGAAAGAGAGGCTGCCGTTGGAAGGTCTAGTTCCGTTATGACTACAAATTCTCGTCTTGGCTGCCATGGAGATAGTGAATTTGGATCAACCCGTGTGGATTTAAAATCAGGTGAGTTATTAAGTGAAGCTCCTGATCCAACAGTACCCAATGGTGTGGAAAAAGTGGTTATTGTTAAGCTGGGAAAGTTCAAAAGTGTGGATGGTGGAGGTGACGGTGGGGAAGGGAGTAGTACTACCAACAATGTGGATTCTAGAAGGTGTTTTTCTATGGGGTCATTTGCTTACGTTATGGATGAGAGTTCCGCACTGCAAGTGCCCATAAGAACCCCGATGAAGAAGCAATCGAGTAAGAAGAAGTCTGGTTTGCCTTTGACTCCAGGACACAGGCCTGCAATGTCAGAATGTGACTGTGAATCCAGAAGGGATTTCAAGTTTGCAGGCTTTGATGCAACTATAGTTGAGGATGATGCTACTAGTACAGGGGTTGCAACTGAAAGGACAACTTGTAATGGAAATAGTGCTGCAATTGGAAGAGGCAGAAAGGAAAGTTTTTCCATATCAAAGATTTGGCTTAGGGGGAAGAAGGATAAGCCAAATGCTGCGGCGGATTCCTCTAGAAGGGCTGTTTCATTTCGCTTCCCGGCGAAGTCTAGTGCTGTTGCTGCTTCTGGTAGTGTTGGTGATGATTTGAAAGACAAGAGTTCCAAGCTTGATACAAGGAGTACTATTTCTGAGATGGATATTGGGAAATGGGAAAATGGAGGAGGAAGCGAGTTCGATTTCGATGAGGAAAGCCACAGTTGTTATAGTGTGGATTCTTCTCAAGCTAGGGCGCCATCTTTTGCTAGAAGGACTTTGCTTTGGCTCACAGGAGGAAGACAGAACAAGGTTGTTCACTCTGCTTCCAACCTCTAGCTACTATCATCATTTATCTCCTTATTTTAGAACAATTCTTTTGCTTCGATCTTATAGTTATGGAATCTAAATTTGTTTAAAATAGAGTGTTAGTGGTAGAAAGGTGCAAGAGAAATGGAAAAAGTGAAATGAGTTGGGAGATCCGAATACAGTATTTCTGCTTTGAGTTTGTTGCTGTTCCATTGAATATTATTAGTCCACCTGCGTTGAGGGTAAACAATGTAGAAGAAAGATTCTTTTGTTTTCCTCTTTGGTGATTTCGCAGTCTACATTTCAGCTTTCAGTTGGTACTGCAATCTTGTAATATTTTGTAAATTTTCTCCGATTCTCTAATTCATACTACCACCAGTTATTTTGTTGCAATAATTGATAAATCCTTCAGACTAAAACCGCTTTTTGGTGTTGAATTCTAATGTAAGGACACTAACCATTTGTAGTGATACATGACATGAGCAAAACGAAAGTCAAACATAAAAGCCCCCCCAGAACTGGATTTTTTGTACCCGATGTCAACTGTAAATAACTACTATAATTTCTTTGACATATATGGCCCTTCCTTCTGAGTTGATTCTAAAATTACTTACTGAAAATCCACTCTATATTTTCACATGTTCGGCCAAGAAAATGTTAACAATTAATTGTCAGTAAGTAGGAAACTGTGTCACTTATCCCCGTGGACACTCTTGGGAAGAAAATGACGTGGGGAAATAATGTGAACTTTAATAAAGCCATGAATGTATCTTTATGGAAAAGCAGTGAACAGTGGTTTAGGTCTTGTATTGAATGCATATCTGGGACCTTATTTATGTAACGTTCATAATGGGTGAAATGAAAATTCAAAATTCAAATGGGAATGGATCTTCCTCCCTTGGTGGTGGTGATTTGGAAAAGAAAGGGGAAATTGGGTTGCAAGGGACTCGTGGATGGATGAAGGGGTTTGCATTAAATAGAAGGAGTGAGTATTGAATGGAAAAGAGGCAGTGACTGCTCTAATTGCTATCTATTGATGGGTGGTGTTAATAAGGTCACGAGAACGGTTGGATGCCGCTGTCTGCTGTAATTTTTGCACCTAACCCTTCTCCTCACGTACCATCCTCTTTAATTCAAACTTCAAATTGGCCAGATCATAACCAAGAAAACAAAGACTAGACAGACACACTCCAATTTCATACACTCATTGTTCCCGCAATTATATCTTCGTCCCTCCTGCTAGTGTTATCCATCAATTTAGCGTGCTTTGTTTCTCAAACCAAATGTAGTTTGCACACATTACTGTGGTTTAAATGAACCATTTCTGGAGACTCAACGAATAGTTATACTTTGTCATCATACTTTTTTGGCCTCTTGCTACACCAAGGGATGAAATCTATTTAAAAAAAAAAATACTGGAAATTGAAAATCAAACTTTTAAAATACAAAAATGTTTTTTTTTATCTTATCTTTAACTAACGTAAAAATAGATATTTATGAGATCCAACTTAAAAAACTATATTTATTTTCACCTATTCTCTCTTGTGCATTTGGGAATTTTCGAGTTAACAACGGTGACAACAATCATTGCAACACTTTCAAGCGTATTTTCCGACCATGATGAGCAGCGGTAACACTTACATTATGTCTGATTTGTGATAGTTAACGTTTCTCTCCAACTAGATTCGAGTTTTAGAGTGTTTTGTGTATATTTAAGATTTATATTTTATATTTCTTCTTTTATGTTCAAATTGAATCTGTGATTGCTTTTTAGAATCTGAATTATGTTATTGTATGAAGTCTCTATTGTATTGTTATTGAAATTGACATGTTATTGTTTGTGATTATCCATTTATTCATTTGAGTGCAACTACGATTTATACATTGTATTATTATGTTTTCACGGTTTATTTGTTTGAATCCCACGTTTTTTGTTTTTTTATATTTTTTTTAAATATGAATATGTGTTTGAATCTCTAGGAGTGAAGAAAACTTATAACATAGATAGTTATGGACCAGAGTTGGATGAATGCACGTTGTATTAGTGAAAAATATGAAAATGAAGTTGAGGAGTTTTTGCAATTTGTTCATGAAAATGAAAAACTTATGAAAGAGACATATTATTGTTTATGTATTCGTTGTTTGAATCAAATTTATCATAAACTTGGAGATATATGTGATCGCTTGTTTGTTTATTGTATTGTTAAGAGTTATACTATATGAACATGACATTGAAAACTATTAGACATTCTAACTATGTCAACAATGGAAAATCTTGAAGAAAGGATGAATGATAATTTAGACGAGATGAAATTAAAAAAAAAAACATTTGTATGATCCTTCCAAATCTAATTTTGCTCACAATTGTACCTAAGATGTAGTTTTACAAGATTATCAACAACTTCAAGATTGTCCAGTTTAAAAGCAAAAAATGAATGGAATGATAAAAATTTCATCAAATTATTAGAGTTATTGAAGGAGATACTTAATATATTACCTAATCATAACTATGTGGCAAAAAATATACTATGTCAAATGAGTTTAAAGTATAAAAAGATATATGCATAATCTAATGATTGAATATTATACAGAAATGATTTTGCTACATTAAAGATGTGTCCAACATATGGGTTGTCACAGTTCAAAAATAAAGTTGATGGAAGTTGTGGTAAGGAAGAAATAGATTACCCTTTACTAAGGTGTTATGGTATTTGTCAATAATATCTAGGTTTAAAAAATTATTTATCATAAAAGAAGATGAAAAAACTTAACATGGCATGCAAATGGTAAAAAATGTGACAATTTTCTTCGATATTCAACTAATTTTCCATAATAGAAGAGGATTGATGAAATATTTCTGAAATTTGCTGCGGAGTTAAGAAACTTAAGAATTTGATTAGCTACAAATGACATTAATCATTATGGAAATTTATGTAGAAGACATAGTTCACAGTCAATTTGATTGATCATTTACAATTTACATCCTTGATTATGTATGAAGAGAAAATATACTATCTTGTTTATGATGATTTTAGAACCTCGACAACCAGAAAATGACATAAATATATATCTTAATATTTTGATTGATGATTTGAAGATGTTATGGAAAATAGGAGGGAAGGTCTTTGATGCATATCGTAAAGTCAATTTTATGTTGCGTGTAATATTATTTTACACAATAAATAATTTTACAGCATATGATAATTTGAGTGATTATATGGTAAAGGGTCATTATGCGTGCCCTTTATGTTAAAAAGACAGAACTTATATCTAATTGAACATGAATAAAAGATTGCGTACACTAGATATCACAAATTCATAGTTGTTAATCATTCATACCGTAAAATGAAGTAAGTATTTAATGTAGGTATTACAAATTCTTAGTTGTTAATCATTCATACCATAAAATGAAGTAAGTATTTAATGAATGTTAAGAGAATAAAGTTACATCGGTATGGTAACAAGTATATGAACATATGAAAATCATACTATGTATGAGATGTCTAGTGAAAAAAATATTTAGAATAAATAATTTATATTCTTCCTTTTTTCTTATTGGTGAAAGTTAGATACTAGACTCTATATAGATATATTAGCACATTTAATGTAATTTTTATTTTTTATTTTTTTAAACTCATTTATGTTTGTTTTTTATTTTTTCCAATGTAAATTGACATTTATTATTAATATAAATAACGTCAAATATTATATCTAACCAAAATTTATGTATCTTGTATTAATGTTAACTCATATATAATGTAAAAAGTCCAAAATAATATTCATAACCAATAACCAATTTTATTTGAATTAGTGAATTCAACCAAATCAATGTAAATTATAAAGTTAAATTTATATTTAAATCCAAAAAATCAACAAGTTCATAATGAGAGAGCAAGATCTTTAAATATTTATAACTTTGTTCTCCTTTTCATTAGTGATGCATGTTCAGACTTATCAAAGAAGCAATGAGACTTATTTTTGCACTGCTGCATGATTGAGGTTAACACTAGTTTCGACAGATAAAGCGATATTTCACGAAAGTGCAAAAGCATTATCCGCGACAACAAACGGTGGAACACAAGCAGATGGTGGCATTAAGTTGGATTGGACCAACACTTGCTAAGTCACAAACGATCGTGCTGTAGGCATCAATCATAGTTTTGTCCTTTCTCGTTTATTTGATGCTTGAGTTATATGAAATTGTAGTATTGCGTGGCCAGCCAAAACAAATAACTCAAAAAATGGTTGGTTGTTTTCCCAACCACCAATTGTTGTGATCTAGATTAAAAATTCCAGAAAGAGTATTATGATTAAATGAGATCTGTGTCACACCTTCGGAGATTGTTTGATTAAGATTTTTATATTTAATTTAAAGAATACATCATTGAAAAAAAAAATGTCTCTATAACAACTCAGATAAATTATTTTTCTCTCCCTTTTATCTCGTGTCCAAGCAACTTACAATTAATTTTGTTTTAGTAGAATTTTTTTAGAAGATTTTATTATTGCCCCAATTTCCTATTCTTATTTACTTTTTATTTATTTTCATAAATTATTTGATGAAACAAAATTTTTGCATTAAAAAATAATTTTAATAATTAATATTTTATTTAAACATCTTAATAAATAAATTTTTAAAATAAAACAGCACTTACTAATTTATATTTATCTTATACCTTGATATAAGTGAAATTGATTATTTTTAATAAAAATATTTATTTTTTAAATTATCTTCAAATTATAATTATTGAGAATGATGTCTCTATTTAAATATAAGAGTATTTTTAAAATAAAAATATGTACAAAATTAAAATGTTTTCATATTTAAGTCCACTGTATATACCTTATTTTTATTTAAATAAGGAGGGAGTAAGATTTTTTTTTTTTCTTGAAATCAAAATTTTCAATATCAATTAATTTAGTCTAACTTAGTTAATGATCTTTTAATTTTGAAGTTTAAAGATTTCAAACATATATTTAGAAATGATTTTTATATACACTATTAATACATGAAGTGATCTTTGTATATA